AACGCAACGCCCCCAATGGTGACTTAAAGTTGCCTAACAGTCGTTGGATTGTTCGCTGAGCTGGGCAATTTGATTGCAAACTTTTCAGCACCAATCGTGGTGACATCATCATTCCTTTATTGGGGAGCGTAGTGGTGCGTAGCTGTCGGTTGATGGTTGTGCGCTGAGTAGTGTTAAGTGTGTCTTAATATACGTGCTGCTAACCGGGGATGACCTTTGGTCGCGGTTAGTTTTTCGGTCTGGCGGTTCCATTGGTTGCTGTGTCCTCATTCTCCGATGTCCTCGTGACCTTTGAGCTTGGCATTCCTTGCCGTCGTAAACTCGTCGTTGTTGGAGTGACCTTTGTCCTTCCAAATCCCTTTACTGATTTGACTCCGAGGAGTTCCTTGTTTCTTTGTTTGTGAATCCAATATTCGGTCCTCCTTGAGTATTCCGGTTGAAATGTTGGTCACTTGCACTTAGAGGTGCGTAAATTGGATCCAGTTCGATGCACCAATTGATCGAATCTACCGTGGAGTACCATGCTCCCATGATTTCTCTTCCGTGTCTTGTTTCTCCGTATGTTAAAATGGCGTTTTCCAGGTGGAGTTTTTGGCTAGTTCCTACGGTATTTTTGTCTTTGAGTAATAGTTTTTTCCGTTGTCGCCCAAGCAGTTTAATTGTGCCGGATATTCGAAATTCAATCAAAGAAGCTATAAGGACACTTTGTGTGGTAACACACACTAGAATGTTGAAATATGCATTTGGCGACTTCCAGTTAATTGTCGCGATGGATGCAAGAACGCAGCCTGTTCATGGAGAGCGGGTATGGCTGCTTGAGGTTAATTCATATGTCATGCTTATTTATACGCACTTCGGGATCAACTTCCTATCTCTTCACTAACAACCAAAGGAGGTCATCGCCCCTTAACATAATTAAATCTGAGAAATCAACTCCGATTGCAGTTATATCCTCGTTATATGGACTTTGTCAAATTGACCATCTGGTAACTGTAATACTGCTCCGTAGTTGGGATTTAGGCTAATGTAATCCACAGTAGTAGCGACTTGTTGTATAGTCATCTGTCTTATCAGAAAATTGTAATCTAGCAGAGTGCTGGTAATTACACAGAAGATATAGTAAATGGAACTGTCCTCAGGTTTGACCACGTATGGAAGCCTTCATCGAGGAACAGAAGACTTGACAATGTGGCATGCCAAAGACTTGTAACTTCACTTAGGTGCTTGGATTGGCTTGAATCATTTTTCCCATCGCTTACGCGTGTGTTGTTACACTGTTTGCATGCTTCGTACGTGACTCCGAACCGGGTTGCGGGGTCACATGCTCACTGTCCTCCTGGGGTCACATCTAGACGGACCGGATGGGGTAAAACTCATCTCACCTCGCCAAAATGTCGGTCTTGTGAATAGCCGCTGATTCAGCGGAGCACGTCTGTGCACTTAACTCCAAATTACACAGAAAAATATGCCCTTGACAAGTCATTTATAGGTAAATGACATTAGTTTATGAATTCAGCGTGTATAGTGAAGTATAGGTTTAACATATGCTCCGTCAAAAAAAGTTACACTCACGCCTGTTTCATCTTGAATTAGCTCTCAAATTGTGGTGATTAGTGCATAGGAACCCTGATTCTATGGCCAAATGATCGCCGAGAGCAATGCAAGTAACCTTGAAGAACTAAGCACTAATGGGGCAAACTTGTATTTTATACATGTGTGTATTCCACCGCTGGAAAACGGTTAACGTATGTGCTCGAACTTTTGCAGTTTCTTATCATTACACCGATATTCCTTCTTTTGTGTGCACCAAGTATACGCGCATCACATTTAAAATTGATGTGGCAGAAGATCACACATTCTGCCTTACTTTATTCGTCTTGGACGTGGATGAATAAAGAGCCTACCGAACCGTCATATTTTATTGCTCACGGCTTAGCAATTTTAGACCTAGAACGGAACAAAAACTATTTTTGTACGGTCATACTCTTGTATGTTATTCCACGCAAAATCCCGTCGGTCGTCCATTCACTTGCAAATCCCCGAACATTAAGCTGAGGTAAGCTGAAACTCATTCTCATAGTAGCGCTTAGCTGAATCAAACAAATGCGTTAAACCAAGGATTTCCCGTGTTTTGATTCGTGCGATACAAGTAGTGTCGGTTTAAGGCGAACTACAATGAACAGTGATTATTCGGAGAGGCTTCCAGAAGTAATGGTTGCTATCGTAAGCAAGATTACACACACCCCTGTGGACAAGCAATATATTTGTCAATATTTCTTCAGTTGTTTAAGGTAAAAAATGCTGACTTCCTTATGCTAACAGAGAGCAATTTGTTACGTCATCCTTGGATATCGAAGCAATTCTCTTGGAGATCAGTCCTCGGTGTTTGGATGCACGTCACCAAAAACCTTCAAAAGCTTTTAAGTGAAGTGCTAAACTCAGAATGCGGAAACACCTGAGCATAAATCTGAGCTACTGAGTGCGTAATACTATTATTTAACCCCAATTCGTACAAAATACACTACAATGCTGCAGTACGTTTTGATTTTGTTGTAATATATTTATGTAAAATTGGCCCATACTGTCTTTTCCTATAAGATATGCCGTTGCAAATAAGCATAATGTTGACAAAATTAAGGTTTAAGCTAATTATTGGTTTTCACGTTTCCATTTTTCACTCTTTGTGTCTGCTATTAGCGTCATTAAACTAAAACATAAACTTTCGAGATGAGAACAGGCCTCCCAGTTAAACTCGAGAAACTTATTTTGCTTAAATTGTTTGGTCATGATAACTAACTTCCTTCACTGACAGTAGGTGAACGCTGAAACGTTATTAGAAATTTTCAACGAGCAGCGACATAAACTAAAATGAATTAACCGTTGGAATTTATCGAGTCTTACTCACATCTGTTTTCTTTTGTAGATGAATCTCAACGACATAACCGACGGGGTCCTGTGTGCACCCTAGATGGAAAATACCTGGTGGAATTTCGGTTTATATTGGTTGTCGTTCTTACCTACCTCCTTCCTTGTGTCTGCCTCGTAATCACAAACGTTCTTATCGCCTATCAGTTAGTCAAACTGAAGCGCCGCCGCCACATCTTATGCAACACGGAACAGAAGACGAAGCAAATGCATCTTTGGAATGCCTCTTTGATCCCGAAACGTCAGGAATCCGCTTGTCCAGATTCAACAATCTCCACTTTTATGGAAAGACGGCGAACAACTGTTCTGGAAGGTAGACGCGAAATTGGACGAGTGGTGGCCCTTCTGATCCTTTCATGCTTACATTTATGTTTTTCCCTTCCCGTTAGTGTGTCTTTGGCGCTTCGAGCTAGTGTACCAAATGACGCACCTCTGTGTCAACGGAACATGTATGAACATTTGACACGACTGTTGACTTCGATCAAGGATATTAACTATGCTCTAAATGGGTTTATTTACACGTTCTTCTTTAAGTTCTACCGAGCCAGACTTGTCCGAATTCTCAGTTGTGGACAAGTCGACATGTCAAAGCGGCCAGTAAACAGGATGGTGACAGGTCACGAGACTGCAGGTGTTTCGCTAATCCTCAATCCACCGGAAAACTATCGACGATCAGTTGTCCCATCAAAATGTCTGTCGACCTCCGGCTGTTCGCGCTGAGTTAGCAGATTCACCTTTCGTTGGTGCTTAACATATCTTTTGAGAACTCCAAACATACCGAAGCATACCAAACGATAAACCATTCCTTGAACGACAGAATTTGTGGCTTCTTGTGATGTTCGTACAATTTATATATTGTCCTTGAAATTCTATGGTAACTTCTGTTAAAACTCGCGTAGAGCAAAAACTATCGAGCGATTCATAAAAAAACGAAGATAAGTAGTCTTTGCTGTATAAAGACAACCGAATCGTAAGACGACAATTTAATTAAAAAATACAATTTATATATTGTCCTTGAAATTCTATGGTAACTTCTGTTAAAACTCGCGTAGAGCAAAAACTATCGAGCGATTCATAAAAAAACGAAGATAAGTAGTCTTTGCTGGTATAAAGACACCGAATCGTAAGACGACAATTTAATTAAAAAAACTTCACACTTTGCCTCCGATTAATTTTCAGAAAACTCTGGACCATATAAAAACACTCGGTCTATTAGAAATCTAAAATTCTACAAGGCAAGCACCTTTGTCTGTTGAGCTTTGTAAGCTACTGCCCAACTAACACGTATTATTCGGTCTTATTTCCAAATATGTGAATGGAACCTACTGATCATCCGTAGGTCACTGAATCTCACCGTGTACGTGTTAGTACTGGAACCCACTCAATGTATAAAGCTACGTAGAACAAGTACAAAGGCGATGGAGCTTTTTTCACCATCATGGTTGTATTCTCTCAAAAGATAGAGTTACATCGAGCAAAAGCACATCCCGAAAAAGCCTAATCCATCCCATACCGTTCGACTTTTCCTCAGAACTCAAACTCAAAGAATGGAGCGCCCGGACTGTTTGGAATGTTAAAAGGTGGAAGTGAAATATTTGATGCAATATCTTTAAGCAGCTGGAATGATCCGTAATGGGCTTCAAAGTAGTGGGTGTACGATCTAATCATTTGTTTACACTTCTTCGTATTAGGTGTAAAATTACATGATGTTCTAACTTAAATCTCCGTTTGAATTTTTCGGTGGAGGAACAGTTGTGGTTACGCATGAATGTGTTAGAGAATGAGAAGTGTACCAAACACGAATAGGTTCTTCCATATTCGTAACATCACCCAACATAAACCGTCATACAACAACTGTGTTCGCTGGCAACCCCAAGCCCGTGTAGATTCAGGCTGACTTCCAGGTTTGATCATCTGGGATTGAAGCCTACTGGTCACACGAACATATGTTTGCTACCTGATATCTGTCCAAGTCGATGCTTAACAAATATAGATATTTACATTATCTTACGGGAATAACAGACCTGAGGGAGCCCACTACTTAAGTGTTGATTGCATTTCAGCGCTGGCATATAATGAATAATGAAAATCTAGTGAAACCTCCGGTAAGTCAGCAAAGTCACCTGTTAAGCTTGCCTCCTGGGAACAGCAAAAACAAAAAAGATTATTAGTTGTGAGTCACGCTTTGTTTCCCATAGTCGCAACTGACAAACAGGGAAATCCACATCCCATTGATTTATGCACTGTACATTAATTTAACTATGTTGTATTGGTTGCTGATCAGGTGACTGTCGACTTGTTCTCCGAGCTTAAAAAACTGGCTTGCACTGGTTCGTCACCATAAGAGGATTCGTCATCAGGGGGTCACACTGCATACCCTCGATGTTTTCCCATATGATGACGAGACGTTCACAAGCCAATTCCAAAGCTGAGCGAACAGATCAATAGCCACCTGATGAACAACCGATAAACACACCCAAGCTACCAATAATTAAACGTATTACTAACGATGTTGCGGGCAAAATGTTGCAAAATGTTGGTGATAAATAGATTGCACAAATGCATAGCGCACACAGCTTAGGGATTCAGGTGTGCACGTCGATATTTTTGTTGTATAGATCTTCTCCCAAATAAATGTGAATCCTCCATGTGCAGAAGACTTCGAAATTGTTGCTCGTCATCTCCCAGACAGCTACTATCAACATGTGCGTAGGTATTGAGTAAGGCAAATGACATCCCAAAGGGGATGATTTGGATAAATTCTGTAGTTCAAACCTTCGAAAACCTGCAACTCACCGAAAGGTTCGCTCATTAGCAGCGCCAGAATGCTACCCGGCTAATGTAATCTACTTTCACTTAAGAGTAACATCACTCGGGAGGAACCACATTTAATGATGGAACAAAAGTTCAATGAGAATCTGATGAATATTCTTAATTACGCGGGTGGAATTTCTAAGATTCGACGTGTCAATATTAACTATCATCTCAAGCGCAATTTTTTCTAAAAGATCCTAGATTTCTGTCTAAACAGGGGATATTGGATTGTGACTAGCATTATCACGAAATTCAGTGATTAACTTAGAGTTCAAATTGGTTGAGATTTTCGCACCATACTTTTTTCACAAGGCCTGGCTGCTATAAGCTCGCATATGAGATCACAGCAGCCAAGCCCATTGGTGCAAGTTCCACCTCTTGACTTCTGTCCCGCTGGGTGCATCGTCAGATTGAGCTAAATTCTTTCAATCGAATTTCTGATACAAAAACCGTCTCAAAATTCAACTAAAAGTAGTCTTATTGCTATAAAACATTTTTTGTTACATACAAGGCTACGCTCGTGGAGCTAATGAGGTACTGAACACTCAAACGTTCATGTGAAATTCCCATTGTGAACCACTTTCAGGACAGTCAGGGAAGTACGATGAATGATGGAAACGTGCACATTTGGCCAATGCACGCACGAACGAGTGCATACCCTAAACCCAAGCCACAATTCAAGTGAGATAGAATTGGGAGCAATCTAACAATATTACGATTGATTTCGTCGACGAAGTTTTCTCCCACACAAGCCAAGAACTTACCATGAATAACAACCACGGGCGTTTCATACTTTGGGTATTTTATGCGTGTTACGTCTACACTATTGTGAACTACGCAATCGTACGCATTGTGACGTAAAATAGAATTTCAAATTGATCAGATTTCCTCTCAACACCTGAGCGCTTGTAGTTTATCGCTTGCATGACTGGCTTTATTTCTATGACGTACGTTTGTCTTCTAATTCTTGCGCTTTGTTTTGGCCAAACCTTGTGAACTGATCACAACCTAAATTTTCATCAATTCAACTACGTTAGGTTTGCGTTCCGTCATTCAATTACCCCACCAGTGTCGGTCAGGAAAACAACGAATCATGGTTTCAGTGTGTTTTTGAGTATCAAGTAACTACTTCTCTATCGTTTTGATTTTTTTGGGTGTCAGGAAATGTGCGGCAGCACCGGGCACTATGGATAGCAGTACACCAGTAGGGGAACCAGGGTCAAGCTGACTCTACTGAGACATGGAGTGGAAGTTAAGCACTGGGGTCATATAGCAAAATTTACCATTCAGTGGGCCAATAACAAGAAAACAATGTCTTCTAATGCCCCTGGAATAACCAAGTCATCTTCATGTTGACACCATCAGCGAAGCTGCCACAACCTACTTTGTAAATTTTACCTCACACATGTCCAGCTCGCAACACCAGGTAGGCCGTAGCCAGGCAGTCCGACTAAGCAGTAGCAGCCAAGTGGCCACTCAGGTGAAGTACTTACAGGGTTTACGGCCAAGTGCAGTCAAAGTTCACATGAACCCCAATCAGAGAGGTGAGAACACCTAAGAATGTCAACAGCCGCATTCAGTTTACGATATCGCATCATGGCCTGTCTTTCGTGGACCTTCTAGATCAAGATCTAATAGTGGAAAACAATACTATGAATGGTAGAGGATGATCGGTCGTATGTCACACCTCGCCAAACCTCAATCGATAAGTGCAACTACTGCTCAACTGAATCCGGCTCATTATATGGGACTGTTTTATTTAAAACCAAAATCGTGCAATACGGTCTTTAGCTGTTCGCATCTGACGAGAAAACAGCATCTCCCTGGGTGAAAACGCTGCAAATTTTTGGCACTGTCTAGGGCTTCCAACGTTTTTACCCACTAGATAGTTTTAAATAACTATTTTGTATTCTTTCTAGCTAGATAACCTAATAACTTCGAGCCCAGTAGGAACATGGTTCAGCTTGATCGTGCACACCCATGCTATTTTCATACCAACAATGGTTTGTTTCTTGGAATCACTAAAAAGCCTACATGAAGCATCCGTTGATACCATCTTCTCTGTGTAGTTCTGATAACGCACGGGTCAACTAGGTAAACATATCCACCAAATATAAGCAAAAGAGACTTGGAGGCTGTACGGAACTTCGGCGGCCAAACAGGTGAAGACGGTCTGTACGGTCTGTGTGACTGTATTACAAGAATACTCATCACTAGTTCATTTACATCAAAGCGATGGTCTAGCTCATGAAGTCTATCCTCTTTAAGTGAGGTAGCCCTCAGAGAAACTATTATAAAGTTATCCTGTACGGTGTCCTAAGTACCCAGGAGTAAAAACGGGAATGGACGTAAACCAGCAGAAAATCAGCATCTTCTAGTGTGGAGCACAAAAACAATGGTCACCTATTAATGGATACAAAAGCAAAGATCTTATTTGCACGGAATTTCTGAGAAAGTCCATTGCTTTCCTCGATGTTTTTTGAATCCTTAACACAAATGGACATATTCTATTGAAAGAGTCAGCCATTTCTGAACCAGTCTTTATTCAGATACTGGGCAAGTGCTTGACAATAACAAGACATTGGTTTCATCAACAATGTATGGCGTTATACTGCTTAGAGAAGCATACATGCATGACATTGATGGTCGGTTCGCGTCGAAAGAAGTAAAGTTATTTATGGTGGGGTAATCTTTCTTACCTTATGAACCATGTTTTATGAGGGCCGTTTGGGTGGGCCATTCAGTAAGCTGATTAGAAGGCAAATTGTTCACAGCTGAAAATGAACGAACCTGTATATTGGGTTTATAAGTTACTAACTCAACAAAGTCGCAGCGGTTGCGGGCAGGTGCTGCTATTTTAAGTCGACTGATATTAAGGTCAGAACCGCTGTACGAATGGTTCACTCTACTGACCTGAAAACCAACAACCCGTTCCGTCCTCCGCAGTTTTTAAAATCTTTCCATTTTATCAGAACTGTGTGCGTCATGTCATTCTTAGGTACACGCTGTTTCGGTGAAACTAGACACACTTTAAAGTATGAGGTTGCTTGTGGTGAAACATGAATGGAGCGGTTATGTGCTATCCTTTTTCGTGGATACACAGTGAGTGCCCTTGTTCTCCTTTAGGCGGGCTATGTTGATGAGATAATAATTTGGCTCGTTAACACACTTCCGAGGCTGTAGCTGGTAACCCTTCTAGGCAGGGATGGCATTCTGCGTTCTGATTCGAGTCAGAATCGCATCTAATCCGTTCGTGGGCTAACCGGCTCGTTTTTAATCGTCCATGCCATTCAGTTGTTACTCATCATTACGCTCAATCATCCGGGCTACAGTCCGATTCCAGTACTCCCTTAAAACAGCTGTATTGATGCTAACGAGTCGGCGGTCTATCACATGTGGCGGTGTGGGCTGGACTAATTTAAGTACGCAGGAATTAACATTTCCAACGATACACATCAGTTGAGTTTTGAGGAGCACCTGGATACCTGCACTTAAAGGCGGGAACACCACATGTGGTGACCGCCGGCAATATTTGGACGAATAAAGTGTGGGGAATAGGGTCAGCATTTGTTGTACGGTCCTTCTTTCTGGGAAATATCTCTGTTCATATTAATATGGATGTGTTTACCAGTGTCAATAACACTCAAAACAAAGATTGCAACACTGCACCTACCCTTTGGATAGCTTCGCATTACAACTGCTCTATCCGAAAATCTCGCAACTCATTGTCTGGATGCCCTTCTTTAGCTTCCCTTGCATTGTACAGCCTTGACGAATAGAACTCCAGCGTGCTGAGTCTGCAAGCCTTTCGCAGTACTCAAGTCCGATCAGCGTGATAGAATGACAGATTTCTATCTGTATAGATAGATTTGTATAAACGATTATTATTACAGGCACAGAAAGCGCAGTGAGATAGTTATACAACATTTTACTCTTCATTTCATGGTTACTTGCCAATGGGACCGAAGACGTCCAACACATTGCTAGCAATATCAGCACAAACTGCAGCCCCAAACTGCAGATGAGATAAGGTGCCTAGTGGATGCAGAAACAAAGCATCAATTTAGAAATGATAGGTGCCTTTATTTCACCAGTTAATATCGTCAAATTTAAAACCAACATTATAAATTGGGACTGATTTCAGCACGTAGAATAACATAAGTAATTTCAGGATTGCGCGGCCAGATTCTCGAGACTATCAGCCTGTAAATGTAGTCTTGATCGTCTCAAGTGAATTCCAAGTAATGTTCTAGTTGCTGAATAGAATACAAGGCAGTTAAATGTAAGGGAA